AACTCTGACTGGAGCAAACAGCAGATGATGGTTTGATCTCATGTTGATTCTTCTCACACCAGACTGCTCCAGTGTGTGTCAATGAGATGGAAAAACACATTTTATTTAATGAAAAAAGTTCAAGTCAACTTTCTTGTTGCCAGTTTTTTTTAGAAAAAAATACTTTTTAATCTGTTCAACATCATGTGTTGCTATTCTGGAGCATTGTCAAACACTTTGTTAAATCTTTATGAAGAGGGGACAAAACTTGAATACAGTATGACATGTTATTTTAAAGTACCTTACAGATGATGTAAGATTGTCTTTTTGTGTGTAATTTCACATCTTGATTTATCACAGTAGCATAGAGTTCACATTGTGCCACGTGAACTGACTCCAGAACTGAAAAAAAATAAATCTAATTCTGAAATATAAATTAAAGCTAAATAGAAATAAAAAAAGACAAAAGCATTATCAGCACTCAAACACTTATCTTAAAATTAAAACAAAAGGGGGAAAAAAACAAAAAAGTGAATGAGAACTATTAATTTACTCAGAAGATTTGTTCACCTGGAGCAAACAGCAGATGATGGTTTGATCTCATGTTGATTCTTCTCACACCAGACTGCTCCAGTGTGTGTCAATGAGATGGAAAAACACATTTTATTTAATGAAAAAAGTTCAAGTCAACTTTCTTGTTGCCAGTTTTTTTTAGAAAAAAATACTTTTTAATCTGTTCAACATCATGTGTTGCTATTCTGGAGCATTGTCAAACACTTTGTTAAATCTTTATGAAGAGGGGACAAAACTTGCAGTCAGTATGACATGTTATTTTAAAGTACCTTACAGATGATGTAAGATTGTCTTTTTGTGTGTAATTTCACATCTTGATTTATCACAGTAGCATAGAGTTCACATTGTGCCACGTGAACTGACTCCAGAACTGAAAAAAAAAAAATCTAATTCTGAAATATAAATTAAAGCTAAATAGAAATAAAAAAAGACAAAAGCATTATCGGCACTCAAACACTTATCTTAAAATTAAAACAAAAGGGGGAAAAAAACAAAAAAGTGAATGAGAACTATTAATTTACTCAGAAGATTTGTTCACTCTCCGATTTATGGACATAGCATCACTAGTATTTCTAAATAATTAGATTACTTAAAATTAACAATTGCCCAGTTTTCATTTTTGTAAAACTTTTATTTTGTAAAAGGGTTTACAGTATTTTCAGATTTCTTTTTGAAAAACAGAAATAATTACATAAAAAAAAAAAAATTGTGCACCTTTAATTATTATTGCAAAGCTTCTATAATTTCTGTTGAATGAGTCATTCACTCTATAGATTTGTTCAAACACACCGATTTATGAAGGTAACATCAGAAGTATTTCTGAACAATTCTGTTACAGAGGCGAAATGGAACACTCTAAAAAAACACCTCTGTAAAAGTAGTTTCTGAGTGAAATCGCACACACCCACTTTTCTCCACATTCGCTCACAGCTTGAAGGCTTTTTACTCTTAAGTTTCCACTCAGTCAGGTAAACTTTCCTCCCTCCTGCTATGCAGGCCTGATTGTGTAGCTCAGATGGCTACCTTAATCAGGAACCACCTGCTTACATTACCGGTGTTCAAAGGGCCTGGAGCTGGGCTTCGCTGATGCATATGTTTTTTGTAATGAGTATCTGGATGCGGGATCTGAAGATGCAGGAGGGAATCTGGGCCAGTGCTCCAGTGAATGAAAATATGATTGAAAATGCCTACGTTAAAGGATCCCCACTACTAAATGAAAGTTAATAGTCACTAACCTAAGGCAGGGGTTGGCAGGTAAGTTTGGCATCGGGCCAAAAAAAAATTTTGCCACTAGATGGCGGGCCAGAACATAGTCAAAGGATAATTTAAGAAATTAATTGATGAAAAATGCAACTAGAATTGCCTGTGACAGACTGTTACAGTGTCTTTTGTAACTGGTAGTGAGCTGTTACTCTGTGTTAAATCCTGTGGGAGGACAGTCATTAACAAAAAGCCACATTTGTGTGGTGATGTCCAGCAGAGTATGTGAGCGGAGTGGAGCATCAACAATTTCCCCTCCGCGCTCCGAGCATTTAGTAATCACTCCGCTCCAGGTTCACCATTTCCCGCTCCCGCTCCACTCCGTGCTCACTGATCTCAGAAACACTTCTCCGCAAAGTATTTCAGTATGTTTGAAATATCACAGTTCTGTTCATAACCTATATTAATAAAATAAAATAACAGGAGAGTTTCAAAGAGGCTTATTGGAACACTAGTGTGCAAACTTTTTTTCCTACCACATGACAAGCTAATAACGTGGTTGTCAGCATTAAAAGGTATAATTGCTGCTTTTTGCAGTGCAAATTTTGTTTGTGATGAAAATAACGATGTTTTCGTCAGTTATTTTACCTACGGATC